TACATAGTATTCCATGGTGTATATGTTTCACATTTTTACATGCACACGTATGTTTCTTGTGGCACTGTTCACAATAGCAAAGACTTGTAATTATATATTTTTAAAGAAATCATTTTTTCATTTTCTTAAAGAGTTAAAACCTTTCTTCCAAAATTTTGTTTATGGATCAAAGTAGCAAGTAAATATTTTCTCAAAGATAATTCAGAGGGCATGTGCATTCCATACACCCAAGTAGTATAATTAGAAACAAAACAGATTTTTGTGTATCATGTAATCAAGAGTACTGAAACAGAAATCAAAGAAACTTCATTACTAATTGGTGCTGTGATCTAGAAAATGCAAAGATTATATTTCATTAGGATAGTGAAAAAGTTATTTCTCAATCTCAAATCATTCTAGAATTTTCAGTTCCTGTCTTAATCTTTGTGTTGATCTAGAAGAAGCCAGATCTCTTGTCTTTAGTAGTAGATTTCTACTGGACTTTAGATGTAGACTTAGTAGAGGAGAGGTTATCTGCTCTTCTGAAGAGGAAAGAAAATTGGAGAGAGCACTACTCATTATAAGGATGGATAAAATTCTAACTTTAGCTAGTCATGGTGCACACCTGTAATTCTAGCCTCTCAGAACGTACAGGTGGGACGATATCTTGAGCCCAGTGGTTCAAGTTCAGTCTGAGAAAAATAGCAAGACCCTGTCTCTTTAAACAAATATCTAACTTTTAGTGACTATTTGAGAGTTACCTAAAAATGTAATTACAAAGATTAAACATGCTTTGTAATGACAAAGAGTAGATGACTTTCTCATTTGAAAACAGAAGAAAATACATTTAGTTTCCAGCTATACGCTGAATTCTCAAGGATAAAGCAAGTTCACATGAAAGGTCGTATATCTACACAGTTGGGAATTTCCTACATTGAACTTCAGAGAATACAGAACTATTTCAGAATCTATGGAAAGACCTTAGCATAAATCTATCATAGAATTTTTATAATTAGAATAATTATTTTCTTAATATTCAGATAATGCTTCATCCTTTGTAATACAGGAAACTGGTATCCCTTGAGTTCTCCAGATCTGGATATGTGGGGACAGGGTGGAATCAGGACAAAATACCATCTGTTTCTTTTACAACATCCCAAGAGCAGCACTATCTGCTTTGGCACAAGCAAAGTCATGAGGCTCAATTTGCCTTGTTAAATTTATCTTTAATCATTTTGACATAGAGAGGAAAAAATAGTATCTCACCATGTCCTGTGAAAAGAAAATGCTTTAGAAGAAGCTAGTCCTCTCAATAGTTGATTACAAAATCAAATGAGACCTAGAAGGAATATGCAGATAATACAGTAAAAGCATATCTGCTGGTGACTTGCATCATGGTAATAAAACCTTCAACCTTGGTAGTCAGAGTTAATAATTCTTTTCCACCACATTGTAAGACAAAGTTTCCAGTTGCAAAATTTTTCTAAATGCATAAACTTAAAAAAAAATTTTTTTTTAGATCTAAGTAGTGTTGAAAAAATTTCCTTTAAAGCTTGAAGGAATGTTTCTAATATGGAAACATTTCATGTGTGTGTATGTATACATATATATGTATATATGTGACACAAGAAATATGTTATTTCTTTAAAAAATAGTGAACTATTAGTCTATTTCCTCATTATTGTTAAATAAGAGCAAAACATGTGTGTGTCTAGTCACTATCACACCCTGTCAAAAGCAGAGAGCAGGTGGAGCTGAGCTGTGTAGCTTTGCATAGCATTACCTTTTCATGGCCAGATGTGTGATGGTTAAGGTTATATTCTCTGAAGTGAAGGCTGTCTAAATTTAAATTCCAACTATATCACTTGCCAGTGAATAATATTGACAAACTGTTTACCTATTTTGGGCCTCAGTGTCTTTATCCATAAAACGGTGATCATAAGAATATGAGCTCTTTGTGTCTTTAAATTAGATAACCCACAGAAAGTATTTACATTGAGCCTGGAACATGACACACTCAGTAATTTTAGGAGTTGTCAACCCTTGCCAAAAGAGGGCATGCTGTTTGTTAAACAACCCAAAGAACTAATAATAGAGATGTTAAAGAGTAATAATGAATTAAAATTTGACTTAGACAAAATCAGGGGCCAAATATGTTTAAGGATGTTGAGGAGGAAAAGCCTTATAGTACTTCTCAATCTTACTGCACCAGTGGTTAGAAATTAGCTTAATTGTAGTTTTCATAAGGTCGTTCTTTGGATGCGAACTCATTGATATCACATGATGACTTCAAAAGTGCAAAGGACATTAATTTAAAAATGAGGGCTCGCAGTTTGATCCAACTGGTGTCTTGTCATTATCTGCCCCGTGTATTTCTCCATTGTCTTTTCCAGGGTAGAATGTCTGTTTGGTCACTTTCCATGGCTCTCCAGTGATTGGATAAAATCTTAAATCTTGGTCTGGGTCCTCTACAGTTGGCCTCCAGTATTTTCCTAGACCACGCACATTATGTTCTTTCATAGCACACTGCAATCCAGCTACACAGAACTGTTACAGTACCCTGAAATACCTTTCACTTCTCCATTCCAGAGGTCTGCTCCGGCCCTTTCTTCTCCCTGTACAGATATATTATTACTCTTCAAGCCCTAGCTCCTAGATGAATTCTCTCATGAAGTATTCCTTGTTCGTGCCAGCAGAATAGTCTTATTTTATCTTATAAAGTTTTGTCCAACTTATTGTTTGTCCAGCAGCTTTCAAATTTTTAACTGGAATCACAGTAAGAAATGTATTTTGCATTGGCACATACTTCATGCAGACTTACACACACACACACACCCCTATACCAAAGCTTCATAAAAGAATACTTACTCTATATTTGCAATACCACTATCATATTATTTGTTTTCTAAGTTGGCAAAAGCTCTGACTGCAATCTACTAAAGAGATTTATTTATTCTTTGATTGTATCACAACCTGCAGTTTGAAAAACACTGGTTTATATAACCCATATAGACTATATCTTATTATTTATTGTGCATAGGTATTATGTTTTCTACCAGATTGAAAGTAATGTTTGATACCATCTGGTAAATCATAGATTCTTTTATTGTATCGAATCATGATTTTTACGTATGTAGTTGCTCAGTACATATTGAGAGAGAAAGGGAAGGAAGGAAAAGAAGGGAAGGAGGGAGAGAGGAAGGAGGGAAAACATCTCTAGAGATGATGTTGATGATGCTCAGAAATTAAGATTGTTACTATTCAGTAAGTCCATAGATGAGGATTATTCAGACGATTTACAGGTGAATTTGCCTGTCTAAGTGGTATATTCTTTTGAGTAATTTCTTCAACCTCAATATAAAATTTAAAATTAGGGTTATACCATGGAAGTTAAGACTAAAACAAAGATAGCTAGAACAAAATGACTAACAGAAAAAAGATAAGCTTCTTTCTATAGGCTATGTTCCTGCTCCCTGCTGAATATTGTGGGGTAGGGAGGTAAGACCAAGGGTGTGAAGTGCACCTCCAGAGGTGAAAAAAGCTTTTGACTTAACTTCCATAAAACCAGTGAAAGTGCAGTTCTGTCATTTCTGTATGTGCTGAAACCATTTCTCTGTGTGCTGAATGTATCAAGCAGTTTCTATGTGCTATCTATAAACAGTTAGTGCTGAGAACTAGCACTTCCAAGCATCTCAAGACTATGAAATTATACAGCAAATATACATGTCATGACATCTGAGATATTGGTTTCCTTGACATGCCAGATTATTGGTTTTTCTCATATTCAAAGAGCAACCTTTCAAATGTAATATAATTTGAGAAGTCATACTATTAACATATATTTACTGTAATGACACACCCAGTTTGACCGGGATTTGAATATACCTTTATTATTCAAAGTCCATCATCTTAACTAACATGCTGTGTATACTCTATCCAGACCAAGTAACAACAAAAAGCAATGCTTTCCATAGATGTGAATATTTTTTCCAAATTATCTTAGATGCTTGCTCTATTTTGATCTTTAACATAATACTATATTTCTAGAGATGAAAACAATGAAATACAGGAGTAAAAATATTTTATAAATGCTAACAAATTACAATAGTTTTATGTGAAGTAAATCTTTTCATAGAACACCGAGTTGAGTTCTACCTACTTCACTTTGGGAAAAATAATAATGAAGTGATGATTTTGCCAACTCTCGTTGTTACACAAGACTGATTTCATCATTTCTTTCAATAGAAGTTTTAAGTTATTATTTAAAAGAAAGATATAATATGGAACAAAATATATTGCCTTCATTTCTGTGCCTTTGCCTGCCTAAATAATGGTAAAATTTAGAGAAATAAACAATTAAAATATGTGGATTTATGGTGGCCCCATTACTTTTAAGTATGTTGCAGTTGTTGAATTTCTTTAAAGATCACTGTCTTTCTTTGGAACTTATCTTTGTGTGTGTGTATATATATATGTATGTGTATACACTTATCTTTATTAATTATAATGTTTTAAATTTTATACTTTATATAGTACACATTTATGTAGAAAGAGTGCTTTATGTCAGGAAGAATGTATACTAATAATGACATTTTAATACTTAATAACTTTAATGTGATATAAAAATATTTAGCGAAACATCTATTGACCAGAGTGTCCATTAAAGAATTTCATCTGGCAAAGTTAGTTTAGTTGGATTTAAAATATTATTAAATTTTAAATTTACACATTTATTCCTTATTAGTTTTCTCAGAAAGTGTATTTCTCTGAAACCACAAATGCTCCTACCAGCCATCTTGAAAATTCATGCCATTGGTGAGAAGCAGATAGAGTTAGTGAATGAATGCTGGGCTAAGGATAAATTGATTACAATTAGAAAATTGGTTGCAAATTCACGTTCTAATGACTGGGTTATCAGCAGTATATATACAGTATGCTTGTTTAAATATACTAGTCTATTGACTGGCAAACTATATGTAAATGTTAGCGCAACTACTTTAATGTGGTTTACTTTTTTTCAGATGTTATAAATGCAAATACTTCTCCACCAATTGTCTCTACTGCAATAAAAACATCTGCACTACCATCAAGCACAGAATCATTAAGCAGTCCTGTTATCACACCAATAATTGGAACAACTCCTAAAGGTAGGATTAACTGTTAGGAAATGTAGTTTAACTTTAACAAACAAAATTAGTAGTATATATGTAAATCAGCATGAGAAAATAATTTGGAATTTTATATCTGATTGTTATAAAGGTCAGTGCTATTTCATAATTTTGAAATTATGTGCTATTTGGGGTTGTGTACAAAAATCCAGTATCTTTGTTGATAGTCTTTGAGATCACTTCCCGTTGAGAATGATTCTATTGTGAGTGCTACATACACAAAGTTTATTTTTAGAGAAGAAAGAAATTGCCATGTCCTAAGTCATAAAATATCTTTCTAAATATTCCAGTTCTTCCCCTAAGCAGCACAGCCAACATGTTGAAACTGTATGAATAACAGACTGGTTTTGTTGGTTTGTGACAGACTGTTGCATTGCGTTGATAATAGATTTAATTTGTAGGTTTCTGTAGCAATGTAATAGCTATTGTTACTGGACTGACTGAGAACTATATCATGTTTTCTAAGCTAGGTATTTAAGGAGATTACCTTACCATCCACAAAAAAATGTTAAAAGCCATTAGAATCCTTCCATTAAAAAAACAAGAGGTAATTGATGCAATGCATACTGCATCTGCCCATCTGGCAACAGACATAAAATGAGGCATATCACACAGATCCTGTAATCAATGGAAAAGAAAAACAGATTTGTTGATTGCCTTTGGGCAAAAACTCTGGTTAGAATACTAAGGTCATAGAAGGATCAGAAAATCATATATCTTGATGAATAGATAACTGAAATTCCTACTACTGTCTTTTTTACCCCTTTGTTCCCTCCTTAATTTTCATTCTAAGACCAAGATCAAACATATGCAGAAGACCAATGAAAGCTAGTTTGCTAGACTTGAATAGAGTGGTGACAAAGAGTATTATGACCATAGTCCATTATTTCTGCATTGTTTGCTTATAAGATGACACCAAACCATTTCTAGCAACTTTACTATTGGGGGACCCCCATAGCAGAAAACTGAAGCACCCTTCTCTGAAGCGAGTGCGCAGAATACTTGATGTTACATACACACACACACACACACACACACACACACATACACACACTCCTAAGCAAGTGCACAGAATGCTTGAGGTTACACACACACACACACACACACACACACACACACACTCTTTTTTGGGACACTTTCACTGGTTTATATTACCTATTTAGTATAAATTACACTGTTGTCTGAATTCATCAATAGTTATCCACTTGAGTGTTAAATTATTCACATACAATTATATAAAATGTAATGGGCCAGAGAAGTTTTACTTTTTGTTTATTGATTATTATTACAAAAATAGACAGATATATCCCAAAGTAGAGAATACTATAATTAATCTCCATATGCCCATCTCCCCAAATCACTATTTATCTAGATTTTATCACATTTGCTTCATTTTTCTTTTCCCTTCCTGCCTTATTTTTGTTTGTTTCACTCTCTTAATTTTATTGTCAAGGAACTTTGAAGGGAACCCAGACTTTATGCCAGTTTACTTCTATACACTAAATATGCATCTCAAAAAATACAGACAATTTATCACAAAGTTGCAAAGCCATCATCAAATCCTCCAAATCAATAATAATACTTTAGTTTCCTCTGAGATCTATTTTGAGCAGTTTTAAGGGTTAAAATCGCAAAATAAAAACCTAGCAGTGGGAGGGAAATTAAAGGAAGCCAGTCTATTCTGGGCTCTCTAATGAGAGCTGCTAAGAGAGTGAGGTGGAAGAGAGAGAAAGCAGGAAAGGCAGGCTCTCAGGTCCCCAACCGCTTGGATCTAGAGTGGGAAACAAAGTCTGGTATGGGGTAGGGCTGAGAAAGCCATCAGACAAATGGGAGTCTGTGGTGCTTATAGAGAATGAGTGAACAACATTAGACAAAGAAGAGAAAGAAAATAACTGCTTTTCCTCTGGCTTACTTGATCACCACTGTGTATTAAGGGTTAGATGAATGACACTAAGTACACTTAATATGGCCATCCTCCTAAGGGCAACAGAATTAGTACACAGTCATAAAGATGATGGAGAATATCCCTCTTTATCTTGCATTCTTATGTCCTAAGCATTGTGTTTCAGTATATTTGACTTGTTAATTTCAGGCCTGTGAGGGGTTTACATTTGGAGGAGTTTTGTACATTGTCCCATTCTCCAAAATAATCATTTTTAAAATTACTCAATAAAACCCTCCAAAAAAGGTATCTGTAGTGAAGAAATCCCTTATTCCTGCTTATGCATGGCCAACATGGTCCTCTTAGATACGATGAAAATATTTACCAAACAAATACAACATGAAGAGGCATCTTTACTTTCATTTCAAGACTTCCTAATCAGATATTTTTTGGTTTAAAGGTCAAAAGCTAGTTGGTCTATAGTGCTTATGTCTTTCTAAATCACATAAAATTTATTTATCTTGCCAATGGCAGAAATTCTATCAGAAAAGTGGAAAATGTGCAAATGAGATGAGAATTCTTCTTGCAGTAACATAATCACTAAAGTGGCAGAAGTGACTGATAGAGCTTTGCCTGGAGCTGGGCTTGTTTTCAGAGATTTGCCCAATTAGATAAATGGGAATTGACCTCTTCCTAGATGTACATCAAGTGCACTGCACATTTTGCACAAAGGCCAAATGGCTGGAGTTAAAAATCAAGATTTGACAGATGTTGAATATCCCTATCATAAAATAAACTTAGAATAAAAAAGAAACTTGAAATTTTGCTTTTTAAAATTGAAACGTTATTATTCAGCTTCATTTTAAAAACATTTGATAGTCCAGTATTTTTCAATGAGTTGAATTATAAAGCAGGAATAAAAGTTTCTCAACATTGATACTAACAATTTCTGCTACTAAAATAGACATTCGATTTCAGCTGAGATCAGTAAAGGAGCCTGGTGATTTTGGCCACCTATCTTACACAGGGTGCTAAATATGGTGCTATTTCGGTTGTACATCCTCTTTGTAGAAACTAACTACATATAACTATAAAGAACAAAATTTTAAAAACATTATTGAAAATTTTGTTGTATGATTAATTAGAAAAAAATGAGTTTGGGACCTTCATTTTTCTCTGTAGTCTTTCTCCTTTGATTCATTATCTTTCTGTTCCTTGTTATGTTTGAATAGAAAATAAAGTACCTGGAATATCTTTGTACATGATTTTTTGGTTTCTCCTTTTTATAGAATTTTGAAATGGCAAAGTTGATGTTTTGCTTTTAGTTCATCATCACAAAATATCAAATGTTTACAAATTAGACATTTTCTTGAAACATTTGTGGCCTAAATAGAATTATCATTGTTCTCAAAGGTTGTTTTGGAAAATGGCATGAATGAATGCTAATTTAAGAAACAATTTTGCAGAAGGTAAAATTATGATATTCTGATGATTTAATCTTTTATAAACATTTATTGATTCAAAATGATGTAATATCCTTAAAATGAAATAGGTTTTGTCGTAATCACACAATATATCCATGCAACAAACCTGCAGATATACCCCCTGATTCAAAAATAAAATGTTACAAAAAAGGAAAGAACAAGGAAGAGGGGCCAGGTGCTGTGGTTCACACCTGTAATCTCAGCACTTTGGGTGGCTGACATGGGGGAATCACTTGAGGCCAGAAGTTTGATACTGCAGTGAGCTATGATCACACCACTGCACTCAAGCCTGGGTGACAGAGCAAGACACTGTTAAGAAAGAAGGAGAGAAGTAAAAGGGGAAGAAAGAAAGGGAGGAAGGGAGGGAAAGTGGGAGGGAGAAAGACTATTATAGAGAGTAGGAGAGTAGGCATCAAACTGATGAGTCATGTTGACTGCTTAAGGCAGATTGTCCCTTGGTTGATTTTCATGTGCTATATGAGTGCTCCCTTATTTGAAACAACATAGACTAAATGCCTAGTGTATGCCAGGAATAATTCTTGATACTAAGATTTAAAATGTGGCTAGACTTGAATACTGCCCTCAAGAATAAAGGAGGACACCTGGCATAGAGTGGGAACTCAAAGCACATTTCCTAAAAAAAACAAACACAGAAGTTTTCAAGTTCCTTCATGACTTATGTTCATTTAGAAGTTTCAGTGCCAGAACTAATAAATGAAAAAAATAATAATAAAAAAATGAGAAAAAAAGATATGATACTCCTAGGTCCTATTGACCATGCCACTTTTCTTACAGGGAAAAATAAAATGATTTTAAACATTAGAATTTAGACTTTTGCAAACAAATAATTGTTTACATGTTTAAAGGTAACTAAGTAACAGTCTTCATTGAAAACTTCTTTTGGGGGCCTATTATGCAAAATGTGTGTGTGTATGCATGTAGGCCACCCAAACATTTAATATATATATTCTTTAGACAAAACTAACTGGAAAATGGGAATAATTAAAGATAGACAAAGGTGGGATGCCAGTCCACCTATAGATTTGATTTACTTTTACTTTATTCATTGACAGATAACATGAGTTTCTGATCAATCATAATGTAATCTATTTTATCAAACTAGGAACAACGAACAGTGAATTACTTAAAAACCCTCTGTTATCAACAGTTGCTTCATTAACGACAAGCAAAGAAGGTGAGTAATGATTCCTTTTTCTACCATTAAAAATATACATAAGTCACATATAATATTCACCCTTTTAAAGTGTATAATTGAGAAGTTTTTAGTGTATTAACAAGATTGTACAGCCAAAACCACTATGAATGAATTTCAGCACATTTTAATCTCCCCAAGAGGAAATTCGATATCAATTTCTAGTCACTTCTCATATCCCCTTCCTTCTTTGTGTTGCTTTCTCCACATTTTATAAATTTTAGCATATTATGTTTTCAGGTTAATTTATTGCAAAGTATTTTCTTTTTCTTTTTTTTATATTTTTTTTATTGCATTTTAGGTTTTGGGGTTCATGTGAAGAACATGCAAGATTGTTGCATAGGTACACACATGGCAGTGTGGTTTTCTGCCTTCTGTCCCCTCGCCTGTATCTGTCATTTCTCCCCATGCTATCTCTTCCCTCCTCACCACCCGCCGTCCCTTGCCCATTTCCCCAAAACGGACCCCAGTGTATAGTGCTCCCCTCCCTGTGTCCATGTGTTCTCATTGTTCAACACCCGCCTATGAGTGAGAATATGCGGTGTTTGATTTTCTGCTCTTGTGTCAGTTTGCTGAGAATGATGGTTTCCAGGTTCATCCATGTCCCTACAAAGGACGTGAACTCATCGTTTTTGATGGCTGTGTAATATTCCATGGTGTATATGTACCACATTTTCCTTATCCAGTCTATCATCGTTGGGCATTTGGGTTGGTTCCAGGTCTTTGCTATTGTAAACAGTGCTGCAATGAACATTCGTGTGCACGTGTCCTTATAGTAGAATGATTTATAATACTTTGGATATATACCCAGTAATGGGATTGCTGGGTCAAATGGGATTTCTATTTTTAGGTCCTTGAGGAATCGCCACACTGTCTTCCACAATGGTTGAATTAATTTACATTCCCACCAACAGTGTAAAAGTGTTCCTATTTCTCCACATCCTCTCCAGCATCTGTTGTTTCCAGATTTTTTAATGACCGCCATTCTAACTGGTGTGAGATGGTATCTCAATGTTGTTTTGATTTGCATTTCTCTAATGACCAGTGATGATGAGCATTTTTTCATGTTTGTTGGCCTCCTGTATGTCTTCTTTTGTAAAGTATCTGTTCATATCCTTCGCCCATTTTTGAATGGGCTTGTTTGTTTTTTTCTTGTAGATCTGTTATAGTTCTTTGTAAATTCTGGATACCAGCCCCTTGTCAGATGGGTAGACTGCAATAATTTTTTCCCATTCGGTTGGTTGCCGATTCACTCTACTGACTGTATCTTTTGCCGTGCAGAAGCTGTGGAGTTTGATTAGGTCCCATTTGTCTATTTTGGCTTTTGTTGCCATTGCTTCTGGCATTTTGGTCATGAAGTCCTTGCCTATGCCTATGTCCTGAATGATTTTGCCTAGATTTTCTTCTAGGGTTCTTACGGTGTTAGGTCTGATGTTTAAGTCTTAAATCCATCTGGAGTTAATTTTGGTGTAAGGTGTCAGGAAGCGGTCCAGTTTCTGCTTTCTGCACATGGCTAGCCAGTTTTCCCAACACCATTTATTAAACAGGGAGTCCTTTCCCCATTGCTTGTTTTTGTCAGGTTCGTTGAAGATCAGATGGTTGTGGGTATGTTGCATTTCCTCTGAGGCCTCTGTTCTGTTCCATTGGTCTATATCTCTGTTTTGGTACCAGTACCATGCTGTTTTGATTACTGTAGCCTTGTAGTATAGTTTGAAGTCTGGTAGTGTCATGCCTCCTGCTTTGTTCTTTTTGCTTAGAATTGACTTGGCTATGTGGGCTCTCTTTTGGTTCCAGATGAAGTTTAAGGTGATTTTTTCCACTTCTGTGAAGAAGGTCATTGGTAGATTGATGCAAATAGCGTTGAATCTGCAAATTACTTTGGGCAGTATGGCCATTTTCACGATGTTGATTCTTCCTAACCATGAACATGGAATGTTTCTCCATCTGTTTGTGTCCTCTCTTATTTCGTTGAGCAATGGCTAGTAGTTCTCTTTGAAGAGGTCCTTTATGTTCCTTGTTAGTTGTATTCCTAGGTATTTTATTCTCTTTGTAGCAATTGTGAATGGCAGTTTGTTCTTGATTTGGCTCTCTTTAAGTCTGTTACTGGTGTATAGGAATGCTTGTGATTTTTGCACCTTGATTTTGTATCCTGAGACTTTGCTGAAGTTGTTTATCAGTTTCAGGAGATTTGGGGCTGAGACAATGGGGTCTTCTAGATATACAATCATGTCATCTGCAAATAGAGACAATTTGACTTCCTCCTTTCCAATTTGAATATCCTTTATTTCTGTTTCTTGCCTGATTGCTCTGGCTAGAACTTCCAGTACTATATTGAATAGGAGTGGTGAGAGAGGGCATCCTTGTCAAGTGCCAGATTTCAAAGGGAATGCTTCCAGTTTTTGCCCATTCAGTATGATCTTGGCTGTTGGTTTGTCGTAAATAGCTTTTATTGTTTTGAGATACGTTCCATCAATACCTAGTTTATTGAGGGTTTTTATCATAAAGGGCTGTTGAATTTTGTCAAAGGCCTTCTCTGCATCGATTGAGATAATCATGTGGTTTTTGTCTTCGGTTCTATTTATGTGGTGAATTACATTTATGGACTTGCGTATTTTGAACCAGCCTTGCATCCCCAGGATGAATCCTACTTGATCATGGTGGATGAGCTTTTTGAAATGCATTTGCAATGAGTTTGTCAGTATTTTATTGAAGGTTTTTGCATCTATGTTCATCATGGATATTGGCCTGAAATTTTCTTTTCTTGTTCAGTGTCTGCCGGGTTTTGGTATCAGGATGATGTTTGTCTCATAAAATGATTTGGGAAGGATTCCCTCTTTTTGGATTGTCTGGAATAGTTTCAGAAGGAATGGTATCAGCTCCTCTTTGTATGTCTGGTAGAATTCGGCTGTGAACCCATCTGGACCTGGGCTTTTTTTGGGTGGTAGGCTCTTACTTGCTGCCTCTATTTCAGACCTTGTTATTGGTCTATTCAGGGTTTCAGCTTCTTCCGGGTTTAGGCTTGGGAGGATGCAGGTGTCCTGGAATTTATCCATTTCTTCCAGGTTTACTAGATTATGTGCATAGAGTTGTTTGTAATAATCTCTGATGATGGTTTGGATTTCTGTGGAATCTGTGGTGATATCCCCTTTATCATTTTTTATTGCATCAATTTGGTTATTCTCTCTTTTCTTTTTAATTAATCTGGCTAGTGGTCTGTCTATTCTGTTGATCTTTTCGAAAAACCAGCTCCTGGATTTATTGATTTTTTGAAGAGTTTTTTGTGTCTCTATCTCCTTCAGTTCTGCTCTGATCTTAGTTATTTCCTGTCTTCTGCTAGGTTTTGAGTTTTTTTGATCTTGCTCCTCTAGCTCTTTCAATTTTGAGGATAGGGTTTCAATTTTAGATCTCTCCTTTCTTCTCATGTGGGCACTCATTGCTATATATTTTCCTCTAGAGACTGCTTTAAATGTGTCCCAGAGATTCTGGTATGTTGTGCCTTCATTCTCGTTGGTTTCAAAGAACATCTTTATTTCTGCCTTCATTTCATTGTTTATCCAGTCAACATTCAAGAGCAAGTTGTTCAGTTTCCATGAAGCTGTGTGGTTCTGAGTTTCTGCATCTGAGTTCTAACTGGATTGCACTGTGGTCTGAGAGACTGTTTGTTATGATTTCTGTTCTTTTGCATTTGCTGAGGAGTGATTTATTGCCAAATATGTGGTCAATTTTAGAGTATGTGTGATGTGGTGCTGAGAAGAATGTATATTCTGTGGATTTGGGGTGGAGAGTTCTGTAAATGTCTATTAGGTTTGCTTGTTGGAGGTCTGAGTTCAGGTCCTGGATATCCTTGTTGATTTTCTGTCTGGTTGATCTGTCTAACATTGACAATGGGGTGTTAAAGTCTCCCACTATTATTGTGTGGGAGTCTAAGTCTCTTTGTAAGTCATTAAGAACTTGCCTTATGTATCTGGGTGCTCCTGTATTGGGTGCGTATATATTTAGGATCCTTAGCCCTTCTTGTTGCAGTGATCCTTTTACCATTATGTAATGTCCTTCTTTGTCTCTTTTGATCTTTGTTGCTTTAAAGTCTATTTTATCAGAGATGAGAATTGTAACTCCTGCTTTTTTTTTTGCTCTCCATTTGCTTGGTAGATCTTCCTCCATTCCTTTATTTTGAGCCTTTGTGTATCTTTGCATGTAAGATGGGTTTCCTGGATACAGCACACTGATGGGTTTTGGCTTTTTACCCAATTTTCCAGTCTGTGTCTTTTGATTGGGGCATTAAGTCCATTTACATTTAGGGATAGTATTGTTATGTGTTAATTTGATGCTGTCATTTTGACGCTACCTGGCTGTTTTGTTGGTTAGTTGATGCAGATTCTTGATTGTGTTGATGCTCTTTTACCATTTGGTGTGTTTTTGGAGTGGCTGGTACTGGTTGTTCCTTTATATGTGTAGAGCCTCTTTCAGGAGTTCTTGTAGAGCAGGTTTGGTGGTGATGAAATCTCTGAGTGCTTGCTTGTTCACAAAGGATTTTATTTTTCCTTCACTTATGAAGCTTAGTTTGGCTTGATAGGAGATTCTGTGTTGAAAGTTCTTTTCTTTAAGGATGTTGAATGTTGGCCCCCAATCTCTTCTGGCTTGTAGGGTTTCTGCTGAGAGATCTGCTGTGAGTCTAATGGGCTTCCCTTTGTGGGTAACCCGACCTTTCTCTCTGGCTGCCCTTAGCATTTTCTCTTTCATTTCAACCCTGGTGAATCTGACGATTATGTGCCTTGGGGTTGCTCTTCTTGAGGAATATCTTTGTGTTGTTCTCTGTATTTCCTGGATTTGAATATTGGTCTGCCTTGCTAGGTTGGGGAAGTTTTCCTGGATAATATCCTGAAGAGTAATTTCAAGCTTGGATTCATTCTCTTCATCACATTCAAGTACACCTATCAAACGTAGATTAGGTCTTTTCACATAGTCCCACATTTCTTGAAGAT